CCCCCCCCCCCCATAGGAAACAATGGAGCCCAAAATTTGACAGATCCATTGCTTCCTATGGCGGGGAAAATTCACAAAAAATTAATGAAAAGTCAGATCAAAGCCAAATTAAGTTTGCACCCGTTTTAGAAGGTACAGAAACTATTCCAAGCATTTAAAACCGTTTTTGACCCTTTTATGACACACTTAAATTTGCAAAAATTGACTTCACTAAACCATTGAAATGCATTGAAAAGGCTTCAATGCATTCCAATTGGGGATACATTGTATCACATAACGATGTTTCCAATGGGTTTTTTCGCTTAAAGACGGCAATCCGTTCCTATTGGAATGGATTAACCGGTTTTCAATGCATCTCTATGGGAAAACGTGTTTCGCATAACAATGCTTTCCCATAGCGATTTTTTTGAACCAATTAACATTGTTAAGCGAGGCACCACTGTATTAGGAACAGTATGCATACTGTGTCTATATTTAACAGATACTTAGGTTTTTTGTTAAATTTTTTATCTTTTATAAAATACCAGTCAATGTTTTTATAATTTTACTGTGCTGGTTGATTTTGAATATAATAATATTAATATTAATAACAATAATAACAATAACAACAACAACAACAACAACAACAACAATAATAATAATATAGTCATTTGAAAGTAAACAAACCCTGAATTTACCAGAACAGGGGCAGCAAAACTGAAAATCAGGATCTCTCCTTGTAAAAAGGCCAAGCCAATTGACCTGCCATTCTGTTGAGGACTGCTTGGCTTTGCTTCCCACCCCATCCATTAAAGCTCACCTGCAAGAATTCATCTTCTAGCTGACCGTGCTTCTCTTCCATTTCCTTGATAAGTTTATCCACAGAGGAAATTTCATGGGAGAGTGTGGCTACAATTTTATTTCTTACATCTTTAATGTCATCATCCAGACTCTCCAGTTTAGTTAACAAGAACGTCTCTGTTTTTTCCAAATACTGATGTAGTTCCTTAAATTCAGCCACAATTTTCTGCCTTTCTACTTCCACCTCTTTCTGTAAGGAGAAAGGAGAATATGGAGGTCTTTACTTGAGCCATACAAGGAAGAAACAGTCCCTGGAAAAACTGTCAGGCAAAAACAAAACTAAAGAATTTACTAAAAAAAAGAACACAAAACCATTGTGGCACCTTAAAGATTGACTACTATACTGTAATGTGTGCTTTCATAGACAAATCCACTTCCAATATGTCTTTAAGGTGCAACAAGATTTTTGTCAGCTTTATTTTTATTTTTACTTTGGTTTTGATTTTGCCTGGCATGCTAGCACAGACGAACATGGCTAGCTCTTCTAAAAGAAAAACCCTGATGATAATTAAAAACTTTAGAATTTATGGTTAACAGTCTGAACTTGCTGTATTTCCCCTAAAGAGTGCTAAACTGCAATTTCCATAGCTCTCACTACCATAATCTATAAGGCAAGACACATTATGGGATTTGAGGTCCAGCAATATTTGGAGGGCCACACAATCCTCATTCCTAAATTAACTATGTTTCCTATGGGGGAATTTCGCTTTGCGATGATCGGTTCCCTACTTTGGGAACCGATCATGGCAAAGCGACGATTTTCGGCCAGCTGATCAGCGGTTTCAAAATGGCCGCCGGGTAAAAAACATGGCTCCCCGCTGTTTTCTGGGATGGATTCCTTGCTGCACAGGCAGCGAAAATGGCCGCGCTATGGAGGATCTTTGCTGGATGGTGAGTTTCAAACCCCTAGGAACGCATTAATCGGGTTTTAATGCGTTTCTATGGGCTTTTTAATTTCGCATTACGTTTTCATTCTACAGCGATTTCGCTGGAACCAATTAACGTCGTAATGCGAGGCACCACTGTACTTGATGTCAAGAATACAGTCATGGTAAGAAATTGTTACATGGTTATACAAGGATTTTTAAATAAATAAATATTCAATATATTTAGGTATATTGTGTTGCTATTTGTCTCTAGGAATTGTGTTGGCTTGAGAAAGGCGGGTCTTGGACTTACTGAGGCCCCTATTTTTGGCAATGCAGTGCCCCCCTGGTCTGATTACATCGAGAAGGGGCATGCTGCTGGGCCATACTGCTTGGTTAATACAATAAGCTCATCTATCTGTTCTGTATGCATATTAAAAATTGCTTGTGCTTCGTAGTTGTTTTTGGGCACAAAATATTTATACATAGGTTTTTGAACTACATGAAAATCCAGTGCCCCTAAAACCCAGCGTTGTTGAAAGGAGAACTATATCTCAATCACTAGGAAAAAAACATGTAGCTATAGTAAATGTGATTGGGTTCTTTATCTGTGGTAGGCGGGCCCTTCTTTTCAGCGGGAAAAATAGCCGGCGATGAGGATAACGGTACAAACTGGGGTTCTTTATTCTTTTTAACTTCTGAAACATCAACGTAGAAAGGATCTAAACAACTCAGTTCTGGCAGTAATTTGTAACTTTAAATGTTCATATTCTTTATCCCTTTCACTCCTTCTTCATCCCATGCGGACTTTGATCAACTCTGTTCCACGTTGGGAATCTCAAGGCTACACATATTGTCCCGCAACAGGGATGTTTCACGTAATTCCCCTCTAGATAGGGCAGGTAACTGGTGGTACCAATATAGGTCACCTTCTTCCCTGTATCCTGGGGACGCGGCACCTCTACCATACTCCATCCTGGTTTCACCTTTATCTTGTCCTTCTCTATTAGACTTGAGGGGTCTGGTAGTAAATCTCCTGTTCTATGGTTAGGAAACTCCCTCACTAATTCAACTGGTTTGTACCTTTGTAATCCTTTCTCCTCTGAGTACCCTTGTCCTCCTTTTCACTTCCATTTTGTTCCTCCTCTGCTCCCCGCTTCCTCCTCTTTTATCTCGTCCCATCTCATTAAATCGAGCTCCTCCCCTTTTCTGGTTTGTCTACCTTCTGCCAAGCATATCTCTATGGCCCTATTCCTCCCCATTTCCCCTTCTTCTATCTTGACCAATTCTCCTACTGCACATCCAGCTATCATCTCTTGTCTGCTCTCCTCGGAGGACGGCGCACTATGCTGATCTCCTTCACAGTAAATATGGTCTAAGATTAGGCAGTTTGGTTTATAACTCCCATTAATCTTATTGATAGATGTATTTGCTCTATTTCTTTAAAGCAAAACCAAGCCCACCTTGGGCAACATTCTGATTTTACTTATATTGTATGTTAACAGGATTTCCTGGTTTTATTTTGTTCTTTTTCCTGCTGGCAATGACATTTAATAACCCACAGCAGAACAGAATATTTCCAGAACAAATGATAAAAATAATATGACTGTTTTAAAGTAATGAATAAAATAATAAGCTCCACTTTAAAAATAACATTCCAGGCACTGACTGGACCTTCTGAATACATGACAGATGCCTTTCTATAGTTTAAGACCGTAGAAAAGTGATCTCCAAATTGGGTCCCCAGATTTTCTTGGACTGCAACTCCCAGAAGCCTTCACCACTAGCTGTGCTGGCTTAGATTTCAGTCCAAGAACATATAGGGACCTAAGGCTGTGAACCACTGCTGTAGAAGCATGGCTGCTCTCTTGAATGTACAAACTAATATTGCAAACATAGCCAATCAATTAGCTTCCCCACCACCACCACTTTCTTTATTATACCCACCAATAGATTCTGGCTTCCATTTTCCTTTTCCAGTTTACAAGACAAGATTTCTTCTCTTTCTTTCCTCAGAAATTCCAGGTGGTCTAAAATTGTCTCCTGCACATAAATACATATTCAGATTAATTCTGGGCAGGAGCAATGACACACGTGAAAAGCTGAGTATAGCATCTACATAGGGTTCCAAGATCATACACACTATTGTGTCCTGGATTACTGTGTACAGGTGTGAAAGCTGGATAGTGACGAGAGCTGACAGAATAAAATTATTTGTTTAAAATATAGTGCTGATATCCTGGACTTCCAGAAAGAGAAATAAGTGGGTCCTAAAACAAATCAAGCTTCAACTTTCTCTAGAATCAAATAAACAAACAAATAAACTGAGACAGTCATACTTTGAGCACCTCTTGAGAAGATAAGATGCGCTGAGTTATCTGTCAAAGGCAATAATGCTAGGAAAAATTGAAGGCAGCAGAAAATAAGACCTAATATGAGATGGACTGACTCTATAAAGGAAGCCACAGCCTTGATTTTATAAAAACTGAGCAGGGCTGTTGAGGACAGAACATTTTTGGAAGTCACTCATTCATAGGGTTGCCATGAGTCTGAGGTGACAAATTAAGATAGTTTAAGGATTTAAGTAGATTAGTGGACAAATCAGAGATCATATAGATATCTAATGAGAGCAGCTCTGGATTATAATAACCACTGAAGTTACAAGCAGAAGTATTCTGGCAAACACTCTTAGGCCTGCTTGAAACATGTAACAGAGTAAGATGGTAGAATCATGAGTTGATAAAGAGGGCAGCATCAATCCCTGTAGCAGATAGGAGATTCTATTTTTGAATGCTGTCCTATGTAAAAACAACCACCACAATAACATCCTACAACGAGAAAGTGAGCTCATCAGGGAAATATTTTCTAGTAGCCCAGTTTGCTTTCTTCTGTGCTACGTTTTTACCTTGCAAATATATCAGCCCCAGGTAGTTATACTACACATCACATTTCCATCTGTGTGTGTATTTCACATTACTCGTTATTGAAGAATTCCTCAGTATCTGGAAGTTGAGTCCTGGCAACTGGACTTCTTTCTTGTTCAGTTGAAACGTTTCGCTACTCATCCAAGACTGAAGAAGCTACCCTGTTTCCCCGAAAGATGTAGCCTGAAAATAAGCCCTAATATGATTTTCAGATAGATAGATAGATAGATAGATAGATAGATAGATAGATAGATAGATAGATAGATAGATAGATAGATAGATAGATAGATAGATAGAGAGACAGACAGACAGACAGACAGACAGACAGACAGACAGACAGGTCTCCATGGGCTGACTCTAAGCAGCAAAATTGTGGCTTTTATTTTTGCTCTATTAGCTGGAACATACTAACTCAAGGGAGATTTGCTGCTCGAAGCAGTAGGATTTTGGCTGCTTAAGGAAATAACCCACAGACCAACTTTTAAAAAACAAACACGCACCAGCCCCTGAGGCGACCCACACACACACACTTTGAACCCACGGGTGACCCACCCACCTTGTGCTCTTCGAAAGCCTCCTTCTTGGGGATCACGTTGTGCTCCCGGTGCTCTCTGGACCGGTCGCACACCACACACAGAAGGACCTGGTCGTCCTCACAGAACAGTTTCAGGGGCTCCTGGTGGTCCTCGCACATTTGAACCCCCACGGCTTCGGTCGCCCTGGCCAGCTGAAGGCTGAGCCTCTGGGCAATCTCGGTGATGTTGGCCAAGGGCCGGACGGGCCTGAGGCTCCCTTCGGGGCAAGGTTCCCTGCACTGAGGGCAGAAGATGGCGTCGCTGCCTGGTTCCCCACCCACACCCCAGTGCTGGGCGATGCACTTTTGGCAGAAGACGTGCCCGCAGTCGGTCATGACGGGGTCTTGGAAATATCCCAGGCAAATGGGGCAGGTCGTTTCCTCACACAGGCTCTGGATCGGGTTCGCGCCGGCCATCGCGTCTCTTGGCTTTCGTTTCCAGCCAGACGGTTTCCGTTCGTTTTCAGCTGGCTAGAGCCTTTCCTGCTCCTTTCTTCTCTCCCCCCCCCTCCGTAACGGCCTTAGTAACAAGAACAGGATTCAACGGAAACACGCGAAAAAATAAGGGGAGAAAAGTGAGGCGCGAGGACACGAAACTTTTTCCCCTCAGCGAGTCTCCGAAAAAACCGCCAAAAACAGAAGGGCGTCGACGACTTCTCGCGAGACTTCCGACCCCCTCCGCGCCTTTTCCCTGAGATCTCGCGATGGCTGGGAACTCCGGGCTTGCAGGAGCGGGGGGGGGAGGAGGAGGAGCAGAATCCATGTTATGATTTATCACCTTTTAAAATGGGGATGAGGAAAAAAGACTGGGATATAATTTTGATGCCAAATTNNCCCCCGGCTCCATGGACTTGGGAAACCCGCTCCTCGAATAGCCCTCTGGAAGACACATTTTGCCACTCTTTTTTTGCCACTCTTTTTTTGCTAGTTTGAAATGTTTTCCTTTGCTTTAAAACGCTTTATATGCTCTAAATAGTTCGAAATAATTTTCTGTATGTTACGCTTTTCTGTTGTTTTGTCTTACCTGGCTGTGCCTTGCCCTGAGAGATTTTACAGTGTGGGATATAAATGTTCAAAAAAATAAAATAAAATACAGCATGACCCCTGTATCCGTGAGGAATCCGTTCCAAGACCCACCTGCCCTACCGTGGATGCTCAAAAATCTGGATTACAATGAACGCTATTTTAATAGTGGAGGTTAAGCATAAAATGGTATCTGGCTCCTTCTACTGACAAATTCTGGTACCTTCGACTTTGTTGTTGTTTAGTCGTGTCTGACTCTTCGTGACCCCCTGGACCAGAGCACACCAGGCCCTCCTGTCTTCCACTGCCTCCCGGAGTTGGGTCAAAGTCATGTTGGTTGCTTTGACGACACTGTCCAATCATCTCATTCTCTGTCGTCCCCTTCTCCTCTTGCCCTCACACTTTCCTAACATCAGGGTCTTTTCCAGGGAGTCTTCTCATGAGATGGCCAAAGTATTGACGCTTCAGCGTCAGGAGCTGTCCTTCCAGAGAGCACTCAGGCTTGATTTCCTTTAGAATTGATAGGTTTGTTCTCCTTGCAGTCCAGAGGACTCTCAAGAGCCTTCTCCAGCACTGCGATTCAAAAGCATCAATTCTTCAGCTGTCAGCCTTCTTTATGGTCCAGCTCTTACTTCCATACATCGCTACTGGAAAACCATAGCTTTTACTATGTGGGCCTTTGTCGGCAAGGTGATGTCTCTTTTTAAGATGCTGTCTAGGTTTATAATCACTTTCCTCCCAAGGAGCAGAAAAACACTTCCCCTTTGAAGATGGTCTTTATGAAATAAGGATTCATTTCTACATATAGCCCTGTTCAGGCCTTCAACACCAACAAGAAAGGATGGCAACAGGATGATGATTTCTGCCATTTCCAACATCTTCCACAACTGGAGTGAGGCTTAGGCTCTGAAGTGGGCAGCCTTCTCTATCTGTAGGCATCCCACATCATGTAGACCCGGAACCCTGAAAAAATGCTTGTTGTAACTCAATGAAGGTGGTTAGTATTGTGAGAAGAGGGGATTGAATGCAAACTCATACATGTCTTCTATGTGTTGATTCTAGAAGGGAATCAATATTGTTCCTACACTATTTGGGAAATATTGCAACTTGTCTATGATGCCTTTAAGAGGTTTTGGCTGGGAGGGACTTTTCCGGACTGGGGTTGCTCTTAATAAATCCCATAAAAGCCAATCATTCTCCTTCTGATATAGATTCTTTGTTCTGCTTTTGTCCTATCAGGGTTCTGTTAGTTAGCAATGGAGTCTGTCAGAAATTTAGAGCAAAGTGTTGTCTGTCTGTTATGCAACCAGTTAACATTCTGCTCAATAACTGCTGCCTGTCATTGGCGTAAATGAGGTTGATTATCTGCCTCAGTGGGCAAAAGGTGTAACCAGAGATTCAGACTATCCACAGGTGCAATTAATTTGAAGATTTATTTAAATCACAGCAGATAAACAGGGAATAAGATTCAGGAAACAAAGAAATCAAAGGATAATCAATTAATTTAAGACCATGCAACACAATGGTCAAATGACAAGTGCAAAGCAGAACCACCTGCATTTAAGTACTAGATGAAAATTACAATTATGCAAAATTAGCCAGTTAGTCCTTTATAAAACATTAGCTCCTAATCTTACCCCAGCCCTCTAGTTGAAGTTTCATGTGTTCAGCCTCGAGACTGAAGAATAAAAACTATCTATTCCAAGGAAAAGTTTCCTGAAGGTTCAGGGGAATGTGCAGGAGAACTGATCCAGATGGGTAAGTCAGAAAGTGCCTTGGTTTCCTTTCCCCCCACTCCCAGGCCAGCTGGCCCACATACAATCCATCATGTGTCACCAGGGTCCCACTTTTCTGGCAGCCTATTGTGAGGAGCAGGAGCCCAGGCTGTCCTCCCCACCTCCAGCAGCCACCCACCCAGACAAGAGGGTGGGACACCCTGTGCAGCCAGTGAATGGTCGTTTGCTGGAGGAGGCAGGGAAGGCTTGGGTGAAGAGGGATGAAAGTTATATATCTCTACTCTATAATGTGAGGGAAGGTTCTAGCCCACTTAGGTCTTGGATCCTGACCCCAGGGGAACTTCACTGATCATGACTCCTCCCCAAAGCCCCCTCTTCGAAGCCCACCTCAGGAGTGAGAGGAGTGTGATTATCTCCCATTAACAGTGTGGAGGAAACAGCACCAATTTCCCCCTGTACTTGCAGGGGATGTTCTGCAAGGTCCAAATCTTGGATCTGAATTGCTGAGAACTCTGTATCCCATTCCTAGGACCTGCTGAGTCCCAAGAAACTGGGTGCAAAAAGGTAATCTATCTGCCCCTCTGGGCTCAATCACATGTAAGTAAACAACCCGTTACACTGATTGTTTTCATACCTCTGTTGCATTGATACATTTTTTTTCCATCAGCCATAAGGTATAGTATATATCAGCAAGAGTGTTCATTCTTTTTAACTGCATGGATTCTTTTCTTTCTATATGAACCATTATAGCAAAGCTTTATTGCTCTTAATTTTGTATCTATTCTTTTTCTCTACTGCTTCTTGGGGTGATCAGCCCCCTTGCCTTTAAAAAATATATATCAAAAGTGACATATTGACAGCGCAATAGAGAGCAATCTGAGAGTTAAGAGGAGGAAGCAGGTTTTCAAAGACCAGTGAAGTATTGTGAAGAGCCGGGTTCAAAGAGAGAGGAGGCATTAACTATCCAACAAACAGCAAACGAGCATGGACAGAGTTCCTACTCCAGCCCTCTGAAGATGCCGGCCACAGAGACTGGCAAAATGTCAGGAAGAACAACCTTCAGAAAACGGCCAAAGAACCCAAAAAAACCATAACAACCATCAGATCCCGGCCGTGAAAGCTTTCGAAAATACATTAAACACTCCTTTCTTCACAATTCAAAACAGGAAATGTCTCTTTCTAGACTCCTTTCACCCAGAAGGTGAAACAATGTATTCCTGGGTTTGTATCTTTCTTTTTCCTCTTCAAACAATCCCAAGCAGGAAATAGCCCTTTCTCTTCTGCAAGGGTTTTTTTTCTTACCCAGAGGGTGCTTTTGGAGAAATGTATTCCTCTTTTTTGTGGCAACTGCTTTAATGTATCGATGTGCCTTTAAAAAAAGATTTTTTTAAAAAAAGGTACAAAGCAGCCACCTTGAAGTAGCCACAGCATCCAGAAACCCAGCCCTGTTGCAAAGGAAATAAATTGACATCAACATTCACACAGGCTGAAATGATAAGGAATGAAGCAATTCATCATCAGTACAATTCTAAACCACCCTCCCAGTGAGGGGGAAATAAAACTGCTTTCCAGGACAAATGAATCCATGTTGGCTGTGTGTCATGTGAACAGAAAATTATGAAACAATCTTTTTTTAAAAAAATGGCCAAATCAGTATATGGGGTTCTTGAGCCCTCAGTTGACCCTGGTGGATTCCAGGTCAAGAAAAGCTGGTCCAGTTCAAACAAATTTTAACATTTGTTTATTTAATTTACAACTCACCAGAAGTGATGCTTAAGGTCGCAAAAATGACAATCCAGATAAGAAATCTAGATCAGAGAAAGAACCTTTTTTTCTTTTCCTTTTTTTCCCTTTTTCTTTCTTTTTTGAGAGCAGACACAATTAAATCAAAGCCCTATCATGATCAGTAGCTTTTGAATATCTGTAGTCTGGTACTTTGGGATCAGAAATCCCATGTGGAACCCATTAAAAATAGTAGCACTTTTTAAAATGGCACTCGAGGGAATGGAAGGGAATCATCTTAAGATTCAGCACTTCAACCTGACTCCTGGCTCTACCCAGAAAAAGGGACGGATTGTCTCGCCAGAGAATGAGGTGGAAGGAAAGGAAAAGATCAGTTGGTGAGTGCAGGCATCAAAAAATTCCACACGACCCTCTTCATAGTCCAAGGACACACAGATCTTCTTTGGGTTATCTCTCAGGGTCAAAAGTGTTGGTTTAGGGGCAGTAAAAGCCCAGACCTGCAAAGGTGGGAGTCACCTGACGCCTTTCCTATAGCCCAAATTCCCTCACTGGTGTTAGGGATGAAATTTCCCTTCCTTCTGACCCTCTCTTTAGCAATTCCTATGGCCCACATCAGACCTTCCTTCTGCACCTCCACCTCCCACCATTGATTGCCTGACGTAAATCTGTTGTAACCCAGCACACAAGGCTCTGGATCAAATTTCTGGGGCACGTTGGGCAGGTTCTGCTCTTCAACACCACATTCCACTCTCCCCTCATGGATGTCCAAAGACAAAATGAGGCACGGATTTGCTGTGTCTGGATCCAGAGTCACATTCACTGCAGGGTGGGAGGAGAGAGAGAGAGAGAGAGAGTCAGTGGATGAATGGGAGGATGGTGTCAACAATGCCTCGTGTTGGACAGTGAATCACATTGGTGGCTTTCTCCAGGCTTCAACTAAGTTGAACTTGGAGACCCAATCTTGACAAGCTGGTTTGCTCCTCTTTGCTGGCAACTAGATGATGTAAGTGCAAGCATGAACCAGCCCATTGCCAGAGTAGTCCTACCAAAAGTAGAAGATACGCAGAACAAACAAACAAGCTGATGAGTGGGGGAGGGCAGGGTTTGATATCATCATCTCATACCTGCAGCACATTGAAAAAGTACTTGAATGTGTGTCAGGGAATAAATCCCAACACCCCATATCAAATATTTCCTATTTCCTTATATGATAGTTACCTTTATTTGCTTCTTGTATTGGATACCATAACAGATGAAGGGGAAAAAATGATACATTTAAAACCAGGCTGTAAGACAAATAGAATTTAATACTATTTAGAACCCTACAGAAAAATCAAGTCCATTTAGCACTAAATGTCAGCATAGGCATTTGCTGTCAAACACCAAATCACACAACTGGGATGCAACAGCAAATGCTTGTGTCATCTTCTTAACTCGTAGCCAGTTGCAGCTGAGATTTATCCCTGGTGGTGGATGAATCACCAATGACTTCTGGTCTGGGCAGGAAGAGAATCCACCACTTTTTGGATGAGGCACCTCGCTCTTTGACTACAGACTACCCCTGGGAAAGATAACAGGCAACAGGACAACTGAGAAAACTATGAGTTCCTCTTCCACAAATTAGGAATATATTAAATAAATTAATTATTTTGGAGGTTGTAGGATCTGACCTCCAAGGATTATAGCAGTCCGGCTGCCATATAGGTCAGTGAAGGAGTAAGAACACCAGGACTAATGCATGAGTTTCAATAGGCAATCCAGGTTAGGGAAAACAGCTCAGTGGACTCCTCTCTTGTCCAGAGTCCGCTGCAGTCTGACAACCCTTCTAGTGCCTCACTTTTATTATCTTCGATACTACAGCAGTTCTCAAGCAATTAACTATGCTCGTTAACATACCATTTGTGCTATGTTAGGCGCATGCGTGATATACCTTTCCAGATAAGGAAGCAAAAAGCTAGCATGTGTGTGTGCTACATAACTGATAAATAGTTTACTAAAGACAGCAGCGAATGCAATGTGTAGCAAACATATTCCCACAAAGGATAACCACAGAAACCCCTCCTTCCCTCTTTCACATGCGTGACCTTATCTCTCATCAGAATTCTATTTTGTATCAACTCCAAAAGTATTACCTTTGCCCAGTGCAAGCTCTAGACGACCTATTAGAAAAGAACAGCACATCTAGTCAGATTACCATACATAAAACGCCTCATTTGATTTTTTAAAAAATCCTTATCCTTTCATATATGCACACAAATTCTCATAGAGATGAATGCACAGTCTGGATTATAAACTGGCAATCAGATTATACAAGATTATATATGAAACTGTGAATAGGAAGAACAGGAATTCAAAAAATCCCCCAAATTGGGATAGCCAGTAGCCAAATATTTTGTTACACTTCAAAAAAAAATTTTTTTTTTCAAAGTTCTGAAGAGGAAGTATTTGGCTGCAGTGTCAGAGGTTAGCCATTCGATTCCCTTAGTATCTCCTACAAAATAAAACAGCTTGTGTAACCTTGGGCAGGCTGCACAGTCCCAAAGCAACTCTAGAATAATGGAAGCATAAATGATGTCCAAGTACTCTATCTCCTGTAAACCCTAGAAAGGGCTGCTATAAGTCAAAATGAACTTGATGGCACATAATAATAATGATTATAGAAGGGTTGTTGCATCATGTGCCATCAAGTCAGAAGAGAGTTATAGCAACTCTAAGAAGGCTTTCAAGGTAAGATATCTCAACTCCACTAGACCACTTGTTGTTAACACATTTTATTGCTAAGGAAAAGAGAGGTGTTGTGGAATTTCCTGACTTGTGCCAAAAAAAACCTTGGCTGGCTTTGGGTACCTTGGTGCATGGAGTGGACCTTAAATTTGTTGCTCCTCCTTCATGTCCATTTCCACACAAGATTTTTGGATTATCCTTTGTTCACTTTACATAAAATGGTTGGCTTATGAGATTCCAGCTATTCTATTGGCACCCAAAAAATAGGCTACTTGGAACTAATGCGTTCAGTTAAAGTCAGCCCTGCTGCTCTCTAGTCCCCAGTACCTTTATATTTCTTCATAGCTACTTCTAGAACAGATGCTTTCTTTGAGAAAACAGCGACTCTTTCTTCCAGTCCAACAGAAAGGAGCACTGGATGGCCCATTAATGTCTTCCTAAGCCTGGACAAGATGATGGGAAACATGAAAGATATGTAATATAATATTGCCACTCCAGGACTGCCCCTTGTTATGACAGGTCAACGTGCCTTATCTTAAAGAGCTGTCCCAACCATAAACATGCCACTTAAAAGCTGTATTCTACCTTGTACATAGTCAATTGCACGATGGGTATCTGATCTTCTCACAGCACTCGTAACATTAATAGTAACGTGATGTCAATGCAAAAAATTAAAACAATACGGGCAAGAAGGTTTGAACCATCCTTATTCTGTGCTTCTTTCTTCACAGCTGTTCTCAAGAACTAGAAATATCATCCCATCTCACAAGAAGTTGAGTAGAAAGAGACACAACAGATGCTTGTCAAGTTACATACCTAGTGAAGAAAACACACTTAATTGTGCTTTATCAACAAAGAGCTTTGTGGTACCATCAAGCCCAAAGTTCTATCTATAATAAGCTTTCGTGGACTGCAGCCACTGTAACAAATGCATGGAATGGAGGCAAGCAAACAGACATTTATCTACACTAAGTATGTAAGTAATTTGAAAGGTAATTTAGGTTGCCTTATGGTACTGCACGTTGCACTTGTACACTGACTTTATTATGACCCAGGGTCATGTCAATGAAGGTTTTACATAAAGAATGACCAATGTTTCATTGTATTAAACCACACTTGTTACTCTGTTTAGCACAAATATTTCTAAGAGCTAAAGGACTTTCCAAAAGAAATGAAAATGAAAAACAAACAGAGCTACATACGTGCTCATGGTGCTTTTGATATCCTGCAGAAAGAAAGAAAAAGATCATAAAAGTTGTAACTTCTTGTTCAAGGAAGAATTAATTTACTCCTTGCCCTTCTCCAGCTACCTCCACACTAGCTGTTTGGATTATCCTTTGGGTGCAACTACATTGCAATTTGATTGATAACCTGTATTAGAGTTGAAATTGAACTGATGCTGACACAGGCGTTGTGGATTGATTCTGGAGTTCACCCCTCATACTGGATGTGATCTGAGTCACATTCCAGCCCACAGTACTCCCCCCACCCTCTTCTTTCCTTCCTTCCTCTCATCAGGTCTCTGCTCAGTCAGTCCTACTTCTGGTCCCACCTCTGCTGACCCTTTATGGTTCACTGTGAAGCGGTTTTGTCATTTAAAGCTTCACACTACTATATTTCTCAAAAACATTTCTACATAAAAATAACATGGAAAGGTACTACACAGTCTAAGAGTACGAAACATTCAAAATTTGAATAGTAATTTTACAAAATACATCATGATTCACACATTAGAGTGATTCCATAAGGGGTATCACCACTACCTTCCCCTTTCCATCCATTAATCCACTGTAATCAAGGTGCTTTGTTTTTGTATGTCTTCACTCCAGCCTGATTATGCTCCAGTTTGACCATCTACAGATATGCCCCCTGTCTTTTCAAAAACATACAACTAACCACATGGGGAAAAGTACATTCAAATCATTCCGACTATAAAAGGTAGAACACCCTGCCCCCAGTGGCAGAGGAAAAAGCCATTTTGGGAGCAAAAAGGACTGGGTCAATTCAATTCAGCCATTGTGTCATGCAGCCAGTAAAAAATTACCTTCATATTCACCCGTTTTATAAATGGAACAAACCCCACAGTATTGACCCTATAGTCACACTTTTCGTTCACTTTACATGGAACAGCTGTCCTATTACATTCCAGTATTTCCCACTATTGTGTTCTCATTTCTTAAAATTCCTAATATTGGATTATCCTTTGGATGTCTGTGCTACTAGAAGTATCCCTAACATGGAAATATCCTAATAGAAAGAGAAAACAGGATTCTCAGCAACATGCCTTATTTATGCCTAATGTTAGGTTACAGGGACATCATCTCCTCCAACAATATCTGGGAGTAAGCTTTGACTCACGTCTTACCTGCAGGAACTCATTTGCTAGTAGCTGCCTCTTCTCCTTCATCTCTTTGATCAGGTTGCTAAGATCCAAAACTTTCTCTGAGAGGCTGGAGACCTTTTCCTCCTCTTTCTTCTTGATCATCTTCTCCAAATATTGCAGCTAGCCTAGCCAGAAACACTTTTTTTCCCTTAAGAAAGTTCTGCAGTTCATCAAAAGCTGAACTGGTTTTCTGATTCTCCATTTCCAATAGTTTCTAAAGGAAAGAAATAAGACTCTCACAGAAGGGGTGGCGCTGTATCACAAGGATCAACTAAGGGAAACGAGCTAGAAATAATGACAACAATCATGTGCTTTCAAGTAAATGTCAATTCTGGTGACCCTTTGGAGGGTCTTCTAGGTTGAAGGAGGACTCAAAAGTAGTCCAAGAACTTCTGGGAGCCCATGGTTGAGAGCCACTGGTGTAAAGTGACCCATACTTTAGTTACATCCCACTTGGTTTAATGCAATGTCCTCTATGTGGGGTTGCCTTTGAGGACAGTTTGGAAACTTCAACCTGGCTCAAAATGCTGCAGCCAGGCTGCTGGCTGAGACTGGCAATCAATCCATTTCCAGTCCAAATTCAAAGTGCTGGCTATGACCTGTAAAGCACTCTGTAGTTTTGGTCCAGGGTATTCAAAGGACCATATCTCCTCTAAGATCTTCAGACAGCCTTCCTCTCAGTCCCATCGCCTTCACTGATGGACACACATACAGTGGTGCCTCGCATAGCGAGGTTAATCCGTTCCGGATTAACCTTCGCTATGCTGAAGCATCGCTGAACGGGGCAGCGATTTCCATTGGAACGCATTAAACATCGTTTAATGCGTTCCAAATAGGCCAAATACTCACCGTTCAGCGAAGCTTAACGAGGGCGCGAAAACGCTGCGCGCGGCCATTTTAGGCCATTTCCCGGCTTCCGGCGGCCATTTTGGCCGCCGAACAGCTGATCGGCGGGGGTCGTTTTGCGAAGATCGGTAAGCGAAACGCTTACCGGTCTTCGCAAAGCGAATTTTTCCCTATTGGAACAACGTTGTGCGATCGCATTAGCGATCCGAAAAAACGGATCGCTATGCGATTTAATCGTTATACAGTGCGCTCGTTAAGCGAGGCACCACTGTACATCTCTCACTCTCTTTTGTCTTCTTTTTTTATCACATACATCTGTTGTCTCCATTGGTAATAAAGGAAGTCTTTTATTTCCATTCAATTGCTGATTGGAAATACCAGGTTTTTCTCAACAGGGAAGAAGAGATAGGGTCTGGGAATAAAGTTCTCAAGTCCCTGTAGCTCAGGTAGCCCCTTGCCTGGATTATGAAAAAAGGTATGACAAAAGGCATAAACAAGGCAAACTTCTAAAGGTTCCCGCGGAATTCTTCATCAGATAAACAAAGTATAAAATTTAGGGATAAGAGAAGGAGCAAATGGCTCAGAATACAGGGGCCGATGTTATGACTAGTGTTCTTGAATGCAAAGTGCTTCCAAGCCAATATAGAGCTAGCATCTCCAGAGCAGGCTCATAATAAGAGAGGCCATCTGCTGGATAACAAGTCTGTTGCATCAGGGACTGAGCAAGTCATCTGGAGACTCAAAAAAGCACCTACACAAGCCATAACAAAAAGAAGCCACCCACCAGTCACTTCTGGGTTTCCATATGCTCAGCCAATGACAGACTCTCAAGATGGTTTCTCCTTTGCTCCAAAACATTCAGGTAGGTTTCAGATTTTTCCTGTACACAGAAAGGTGTTGCTGAGGGCAGATTTTATCTCCTGGTACAGTATTAGCAACAGCCCACTGGGTCCTTAGTAAACTGCACATCAAACAGACCCCAGAAAATGTCCTCTCTTTTTTTGGACAACTCTCGGTATCCCCACAGCCTGCTAGCTGGGCTGGAGGGGGAGGGATCTAGGACTATAGTCCAGAAAACTCTTTAGCAACTAAATCTTCCCAACTCAGCTCTGGCATCTGTTAGATCCGCAATGGTGCCAGCTTAAGTCCTTGTCTTAAGACTTTTAATTCCAAATTGTGTGGATCAGATCAACGTGTCTTGGAAACGACAGGCATCCAGGTTCTTGAGCATCCTTAAGATTTTGGTGCACAGAAATGCATGCAGGAGGAATAGTTTTAATTTTTAAAGTGGTACAGGATTCTTTTCTGCTCTTTCTTGCCAGGTGTAACACAGCACCTCTGCATGCAAATAGCAGAAGGAATGCATCTACACTACACAGTTACAACCATTTGTTACCACTCTAACTGCCATGAATTTCAACCCAAGGAATCTTGAAATCTGTCATTCGGTCAGCTTCTTAGAATTCTGCACTTAGAAAGCACTAGTCCACTCTTCTGAAATAAACCTGCAGAAAATTGAAAGTCCCTCATGAAACTACAAATCCCAGGATACCGTAGGCAGGTGAAACTAGGAAGCAGAATTAGGCTGCAGTACTTGTGTATGGGAAAGTGTGAAGGCAGGAGAAGGGGACGACAGAGGATGAGATGGTTGGACAGTGTCATCAAAGCGACCAACATGAATTTAATCCAACTCCGGGAGGCAGTGGAAGACAGGAGGGCCTGGCATGCTCTGGTCCATGGGGTCACAAAGAGTCCGACACGACTAAACAACAACAACTTGTGTATATCTAATTAAAAAACCTTCCAAATACAAAATTTAAAATTTATTTTTCAAGCCCACTCATCATAAACTGCAGCAGAAAGCTTGCAGCAGGTGATCCTCATTGATAGAGACAATAATGCGAGAAAAAGTTGAAGATAGCAGGATAAGAGGAGCTAAGGTGGGATGGCCGGACTCCACCAAAGAAGCCCTGGTGGTACCTCGCCATGTGCAGGGGGAATGCAGAGGTGTGCCCCTCGCTTCCCACCTGGTACTCCGGGGCGACGTCCTCCACAGGCACCACCCTGTGACTCTGGTGCTCCTGGGCTCTCTGGCAGACCGAGCAGAGGAGCGCCTCGTCCTCCCGGCAGAAGCGGGTCGGGGCCACCGGGTGCTTCGGACACTTGCCCCAGCCGCGCTCCCACGCCCTCTTCTCCAGCTCCAGCTCCAGGACGGCCTGGATGATGCTGGCCAGCTGCCAGTTCGGCCGGAAGCGCCGCGGCGGGACGGGCTCCCGGCACTGAGGGTAACGAGCCTCCCGATGGCCGCCCTCCCCCCTGCACCGGGCCAAGCAGCCTTGGCAGAAATTGTGCCCGCAGTCGAGGGTGACGGGGTTTCGGAAGGGCTCCAGGCAGATGGCGCACAGATACTCCTCGCGGAGGGACACCGGCGTCCGTCCTACCCGCGCCCAAGCAGCGCCTTGCTTCTGCCTCCGCTCCCGCGACCACCACGTTCGGTTTCGGTTTTCATTTGAAGGTGGCGCGCGGGGGCGGGGGGAGCTTAATGGAATTCTGGGAAGACGCAAAATTCTGGGAAGACGCGGGATGGTTGGCGGGAAAGGCGTTTCTCGTCCATTCTGAATGGATCCGCTGAGGCAGTCGTCTTTTTAATTCATGATTTGTATGTTGTTGTTTTTTTAAAAAAACCCTTCCTCTTCTGATTAGGGATAGTAAATCTCCTTCCCCTCTCCCCTCTTCAAACATTGCTGGGCTTTTTAATTCATGATTTGTATATTTTTTTTTTTAAAAAAAAAAACCTCTTCTGATTAGGGATAGTAAATCTCTTTCCCCTCTCCCCTCTTCAAACATTGCTGGCGGGTTGCTCCCTCAGCTTGAAATTAGCGCAAAGGATTCATTATTTTCCCCCTCTCTCTCCACCCCAAACGCAATAAAAAATTAAAAACGGGAGGAAGGTTCCTTTCGAAGACCTGACCTTCGTTCGGCCGAGAAAGAAGAGGGAGAGAAAACTGCCTTTTCGTTTGTTCCGCGGATTCCTTTCCTATCATTGTAGCTGATCGATTACCCCTCTTTTTAAATTTTTTTAACAAAATGTTAAATAATATTTTAAAATGGTGTTAAAATTGCATTTTCAGCCCAGCACCTGTTTGTGAGTTTCTATCAGGGAGAAAGAAAACAGTTTTGCTAAAAGGTCTGATCACAGTCCTATCATTTACAAATGACAATTTCCGAATAAGGTGGTGGGACGCTTGCTGTTGTCTGCTCCCTCAACCGGGTCTATGTAATGCTAAGAAACTGTGATGGGATATTTCTGGCTTCAGAGAGTGAAAATGTCTTACTCGGGATGAAACAAGTGCTTGCAAAGTTTTTTTTCTTCATTCCCAGCAATTTTCCAAGTCTCATCATGGCATTCAGCTGTGAGATTTATTAAAACCCTGCACAGCCCAGTCTCATTTCGCCCTCATGTTCCTCTGTGTCCTATATACTGTATGTTTTCTGCCCACATCCTTTCTAGATGACTCCCCTGCAGGCAAGATGGCATTCTGTGCAAGAACTGTGCTAATTCTGGACAGCTTGCTATTTCTTTCGGCATCAACGATTATGAAACTTTCCAGCAAATCTTTTTTTTTTTTTTTGGTCTGTGTTGTGTTGTGGTTTGGCAGGCTTTATCCCTTTTTTGTGCATGCAGAGTTTTCTTTCCATCAATGACTTCTCATGTCAGGAAGCACGGAAGACGTTGCCAGCAGAGTTTGGCAAAGCCAGATCTCCTTCCTTCTGGCTATGTTGGAGGGCTGCCTGGAACTGGCACAAGGCTCCTTCTTGCTCCTCTCTGGCTGGCTCCATGGTTAGAAGGAAGGCGGTGCCCTTCCTGTCCTGTTCTGGCAGCTGGAGAGAAGGTGCTGTCAGTGCTGGGTGTGGGTTGTGCAGAAGTGGAGGAACTCAGCTATCTGATGGTGGACATTCCCATTCCCAGCAGCCACTCCCCAAATTGCCAGCAGCACAGAGGGCTCCCCGTGAGGGTTCTTTGGCCAGCCATTCTGCGAAGCATTGACTGTTGCCATACTGCCACTGCCTTAACTGGCACAAACACACAGTCTCCCCTTCACAGTCGTACTCCTGCGTTTTATGGATGCCTCCCTGGCTTCTACCACATTTTAGGCCAGTTCTAGATGCCATGGCTGTGGCTAGCCTCTTCTGGACATCATTTCAGAGATGGTAACTGGTGTATTCTAATTGCGTACCTTCAAGTCAATTCTGACTCAGGGTGTATGAAAGTTCTGAAGACTCAGAAGAACGCTTGGAGGCCTCCCCAGCATAACTCTGTGCAACATTAGATCATAACATTTCTTAGTCAGTGTCAAATGTGCTGTTGAGAATATACACACAGGAAGATGGCTGTGATCAATAAATTTTCTCAAAATGCATCTGGGACACACAAGGAATATCTCCTCCACTACAAGAAAAGCCAAGTGAGGTACAAATAAGGTTATGGAAAGAAAACAGAAGCTGACTTTCTGAAACATGAAGACCCAAGGATCAAACTGTGCAAGTAGTTTTTTTTTAAATTGGCCATTATAGGAACTTATTTATTTACTGATTTATTTTTAATGTTTATATGCTGGCTTTCTCAAAAAAAAAAAAGGATGCAAAGGTGGCTTTTCATCAGAAGTAATTAATTATGCAATTAATTGACAAAATCTCCTCACAATTGATATTGTCAATATCCTCTTCTTAGATTGGCTAACTTTAAGATCACACTCTTTGTTAATATATCTTGGAGATTTTACTGCAAACATACAAATCTTTCTGGTGACCAAGAAGTTTAGAATTATCAGGGAGAGTCTTAATAGCAAAAGAGAACCATTCTATTGTTGTATATATTTAGTTCTTATATAATTCAAGTGTTTTGTACATGCCTCAGCAAAGCTGGTAGTTTCCAGGGTATTCACGTGTCACATTCATGCCCAGAAGCAACACGAACAAAAGGTAAACAGTGTTTAAAATCAGATCTTGCCTGGACCAGGTACCAGGGTGTGGGTATTTTTGTAGATGTAGTGGCAGCTCTACCTTGCAGAATGGGCCTATTGGTTTTTGGTGTCTAGTGTTAGGGATTTTGGATCTCCCTGGAAGCATTGCCAAGGTGGGCTTGGGAGGCAAATTCTATAGTCATGGACACAATTGACTCTCCTTCATTCACTTACTCCAGGATAATCAGCGTAGTGTAGCTGAGAGAGAGAGAGACCCAGTTACCATCACAGAGAACACACTTAAAAGGTTCATACTCAGGATTATTACCATGATGTCTCAAGGCTATGTATTTTCCAGAGGCTTTGAAAAAGAAATAGGTGTGATGGTCAAGTAGTACACAATACATTCAGTTTGTTTTGTAAATGTAGGCAGATTTTGAGATGATTATTCATGCTGTTTGGCTGGCCCTATCACATTTTATACTACTCTCTAGAGTTACATAAAAGATCTGTCAGGATGGAAGGATCTCGTTGGTTAACAATATATGCATTAATAAAATATTTTTCCCTAAAATATCTTTTCAGAAGTACATTCCAATTGAGTTCAGTGGGCTTTATATTCAAGTTCATGACTATAGTCTAAGTAGATCTTAGGCAGAATTGGCTCTAATGCCCACCTAGGCTATAATTGATAAATTGCATGCTCAGGAAAACCAACCAACCAACAAACAAAAAGGACAAAGCACATCCTTGTCTTTGTATAAATGATACTTGTGTGCCTTTATCAAACTGTTTGAATTCATTCTGACTTTGATGCCAAAGTTGATACAGCTTCAGCAGATGTCAAGTCGACCCCTCGTTGTGTAAGAGACAGTAAATAACATTATAGTTTGTACGTCCTTGGGATACTAATTGGATCTTTGACACAGGTGACCTCAGAAATTACCCTTCTCATCATGCTTTGCTTCTCAGGATCTCCCCTCTGAATGAGTAGAATCATAGAATTGTAGAATAGTGAAGTTGGGAGGGGCCTATAAGGCCATCAAGTCCAACCCCCTGCTCGATGCAGGAATACAGATCAAAGGATATCTGTCAAGTGGTTGTCTAAATTTCTCTCCAGTGCTTCCAGTATTGGAGCACTCACCATCTCTTATGAAAATGACTTGAAGGTAGAGGTTCTCCTAGTTGAGAAGCCTGCAAAATGCAAGGGTAGATCCTTTGGTTTTGGCGGACGCAAGTACTGAAACTGGTTGGGGCTGAAAATTCACCAAAGCAACCACCATGCAAATTCTTCAACACTACAGCCTCACCTTAACGAGCACAGAGCGTTCTCTTGCTTGGCTACCTTCTCACTGAAGTCTTCATCTGCTGTCAAGATAACACTGAAATCATTAAGATAATTCCAGTAGCAGGAATAAACAAAGTTGACTCATTTTTAAGACATGGGGCCATCAAAACAGCCTATTCGTTATCCAGGCAAAATACCAAAACCTTCCCTCTTTCCAGAAAGGGGTATTTATTTCCAAATGTTCCCTTCATTGACTGTTCAGTGTCTTGAAATGCAGTAAAGCATCAGTACTCATTTGTCCTCTTAAAAGACCCTGACTGCGAAAGAACTTCTGCTTGA